TGCTTGCTAATTAAAGTGTGGGAAACAGCCAGTATCAAATTATTTTGTTTAGACAATTCGTGGTGGGGTTACGTAGTTCAGCATGTATGCAGTGGTTTCACTCTTTGGTAAGACTTTTATGATTTCCCAATGACCTATGTCATTCTAATATACAGACTCTAAGTACAGCCAATGTCATTGTGCCCAAAAAGAAACTTTAAGCTTTTGTACTGAAGTAGGATTTTTAATAAATAATTGACATTTTACTTATGTAGTTTGGAAAACATACTGAATATAATTTATAGAGCCTGCACTTTCTAAATTCTGTCCACCGGTAGCTTCAACTAACAATTTCACCTACACTTTAACTACATTATGGTCAGTCCTTGCTTTTAGAAAACCATTCTTTAATTTAAAAAAAAACCAACAGCTTATTTGAGCTACAATTTTGCTTTTAAATGGACTCACATGAGTCCTATAGAATTTGCTTTCTAATGGTCCCTTATTCCAACAAAATTTACTTTTGCAAGACGGAGTTGTAGTCATGAGTTGTACCAATGTGCTTCACATGTATTCAGCAAGCAAGATCCAGTCCAGAAAAACATTCATTCAATCCTGTAACCTATTCCCTGTGACCACCAACTTGCTGTGAGGGAGCTGGAATCTGGATGAGTTGTTCTGGCAGTTTGTATCCTGTAACCTTCTTTCCCCAGTGTCCCAGTACACATCCCTGCTGCCCCGACAACATGACCAAAAGTTCATGCCTTGCACACATGCACTACCCACAGCCCCTGATAAATGTCATGCACATGTGGGAATGTGTGTGTCTGCAACATGCTACAGGGACCACCTTCCTTTATGCTTTTTTGTTGTACATTCTCCAACCTCCTTAGATGATTGCAGCTGTATTCTTTTTTGTAGGGTGCACATGCTCATCAGCATGCCCAACAGCCATATGTCTCAACATTTTAGATGAGGGGACTCACTGGCATACATGCTGCAGCTCTTTTCCAGTGCATCAAAAAAAAAAAAAACAACCTGAACACAGGGATGAGATGGTGTGTACTTCAATCTATCTCCATCATGGAGCTAGGCCATTGTCTGAGTTGTCTCTCCAGAGCAAAGGGCTAGGAAAGCACACCTACATTCTACAGTGTGACACAGCTCATGTGGCTCCCTGTAGCCAAAAGTTTGGTCACTATTGGTCAGTGCTCGAAAGCTCAGTATGTGCCGTCTCTCAGAGTCTTCTCAGTTAAGTGAAACCCCGAAGGAACCCTAGTACAAGAAGACATGTGACCATAAGTAGGATTATGACTGCTGTGGTTGCTTTAGTGACTAGAGTAGGGGGTCTGGCACATCTGTTCTTCTCACAGTCATTTTGTTGGGTCCCAAGTTTCTTGTTTCTCTAAAGAAACCATCCATTGCAATTAGTTTTCTTCTTGAGCATGCTACCCTCTGTCCACTTCAGCATTCAACCAAGATAAGTAGGTTTGTGTTCATTAGAAATATCACTGAAATGATCAGCACGGGAGCACAGCTTAAAAAATGGCATTTATATTGTCACCATTATGATTTAGAACCCGTGCCTGCTACAGATGAAGGGAACTCCTGCCCCTATTAGACTTCCCTCTGCACTTCCCCTGCACTACCATCCACAAATGGTTTTGCATCCTTCTAACATTTTGACAGTCACCATTAGCAACCCAAGAGCTAAAAACTTTTTAAATTAAGTCTTGGATTTCACTTCACAGTTCTGTGGCAGAGTCAATTCAGTGACAAATCTGCAGCCCCTGCAAAGGAGTAAAAGGAATCTAGATTTCTTCAAACTTAGGAGTTAGAAGAAAATATGGTTTGAATAACTCTTCTAACAAAACAATCTGGGTTTTAAGCAACATAGATTCAATAGAGAGTCTTAAAATCAATGAGCAGAAAGCTTTAGTAACTTCCCCAACCACTGTTTTCCTCCTTGCATGAAAATGGCTCATTAAAAGGACACATCAAATTGCTTTCCATGTCTGAAAGGGAACACCAACACAATTGGAGAATTTGCTAAACTGTTACATTTGAATGTGATACATAACAAGAGGGTTAGGAAGCTGCTGCATTAACATGTGGGAGATGTTAAGAGAAAAACACAAATGTCGAAGTAAGAATAGGGAGGAAATTTCAATTTGCAATTATACTTTAAATTTTTTTTAACAGACGTTGCAGTTTGTAAAACAGAAAGAAGCCTAGTTTGGTAGTTCATGCTCCCAATTTTCAATATAATTTTAATGTACGTGTACAAAATGTTTTGTTCCATGCTTTAGGTTTGTTTAGGTTTTGTTGTGGTATTTGTGTTCTCCATCCTACACAGAGCACTCATGACATTCATCTCTCTCAGCTAGAAACAGAACCACATTTTTAGGCCACATACAGACACAAAGCGAAGCTTGATGTTTACATTTAATGATTATAGACTGCTAAATATAGAGATTTCATAGCAAAGAAGTCTTTTAAGTGAGGTGTTGTATTAATCACAGAAAATAACTTCTACCCATCCTTCAGGAGGCAAACCCCTAATAGGGCCAGGAGTCAGAAAATTGGGCTGTAAAAAGAAGAAAAAATAAAATCCGCCTTTCTCTCACAAAACCACAAAGTCCTAAAATTAGAATGGTCCTCTTTCTTTGTCTGAAAAGGGAAGTTGCACCATGCTTGGATTTGGGGCATGGGCAGGAGCATAACAAGCACATCCAAGAATGCCACTGCTTGATAGTCAAATGCTATCTGAGAATGTACGTCAAGCTGCATACCTGGTGCTTCTCCATCCTTCAATCTATCTATAAGGGCTGTGCCAGTCAGTTCAATAGAAGATCTCATTTTCATAAGGAGTTCAGATGGAATACTCTGCATGCTATTCTGTTCCAGAAAATAATCTAGTAATACTGCATTAAAAAAATATGTATTGTTTGAAGCAAATACTTCATTAATTTGACCTATCTGTGATAACATTTTTAAGGACACAGTACCAGTGAATTTTACTACTTGCCAAGAGAGGCATGTTACTATCAGGATGCATCCTGAATGTGTTCAGCTAGTTCAGCTCAAAGGAAACAATGGAGCTTATAGACATGGTAGGCTACCATTCAAGTTGGCAAGGTTCCCATTACAAATATTCCTTGTTTTGAATATCTCTTGCCATCCAAGTTCTACATGATGCATATAATTTAAGCATTCTCTTTAGTGAATCACAAATGAAGAGCAATGTCTACAAGAGAATTTCAGGGGAGGTGTGAGTAGGATCCTGTGTTAGACTGAGTGAGCACCTTCAGAGCAGGCAGTCAGAGTAGAGGCCCTAGCCAGAGGTTCTTGGTGGGAATATGACAGAAGAAAGCTTTGAATCTAGCCAAGAGAGGGCACACCACCTCTCCAGAGGTGTTTAGCTGCCAGCAGGATAAAACCTCAGCTAAGTGTATATATAACTTAGAGGCCTAAATGTGTTTTTTGACATTTAAGGATAATACGGCAGATCTTGACAAGCCAAGCTTTGTCTGATTAAAGAGCATGACATAGCACCCTAAATTACCAAAAATAAAATGCATATTGTTATATATTGCTACTATATGTTTTCTACAGTTTGTATATGAGAAAGTATGATTAAAAGTCGATGAGAGACTGTTTATAAATTTTGATTGCTTCATAATTTTAACTTTGAGCAACATTTTTATCATAATTATAGGCTTTCTTAAAGCATTTATGCAGATTGTTTTATTCAAAAGGGGTTTATTCCATATAAACTCCACTCTTTTATCTCTCCATGAAATCAGTGTGTGAATTCCCAGCAACCACAACTCCATAGATAGTCATCACATTAGTAGCAGAGATATTTTCAAACAAGGCAATATTCCTCAGATATTCTGAACATTATTTCCTGCCTTCCCAGCCAGTGAGTGTCATAGTGGTAAACAGTAATGATCATCATTAGCACATTTGTTACCTCTTTATCTCTCTTTAAAAGTATTAGCAAATTTGTAGTCAATTCTTCTGTGATGTTCCCGTGTGCTATGGTAGTCAGCATATTTATGGTTCAGTGAAGGCTCGGGGAGATTAAGCCTGATATCTCACATCTCCAGCTCAAGGAGATTTAAGTCCAGGATTTATATGCAGAGTTTATGTTCAGTGAGAATTTTGTGTCTAAATATTCTGGATCCCTACAAATGTTGAAATATAACGGACTTACCAAGGACTCAAGGCTGGTTTTTAATTGTTATTAACAGCCAGTTGATTGAACTGTTTCAATGCATGTGAACAACTTTTGGGATCTGCAGCAGGGACTGAGTCCATGGCTCCCACTTTAGATTGGCCCATGGCTATAGTGCCTATGAGGAGAGGGCTTTGGGGAAAACCATCCTCTCTCCTTCCTCCTGGTTTTCTCACAAAGGATGTCCATCCCAGCCAAAAGCCCAGGATTTCTACAATGGCAACAATTAGGACATCAGGACCCTTGGCTGAAGCTTAAGGCAGCAAATTGACAGCACAGCTGGACCTAATGTAACAGAAAAGCAATTCAACCCTTGGGTGAACTAGTGACAGTCCTGGTAAAATCACAGAAGTGAATCATCTTCACTGGAAGAGGAGCTGAAAGGTTTGAATAGTTTCATAGCAGTCACTGTATCAGCACGCTATGCCTCATTATGATCTTCTCATCCCAATGACTTGAGAAGGCACTTCTCCAGCACTGGAACTTGCATAGACTGCTAGGGCATCAAATGGAAAAGGTACTATCACCTCCCCCAGGAATTACAAATATATTATAAGTGTATATAAAATATGTGCAAACATTTTTGCCCTCACAGTAAAAATTTGATCTTTAATACATTTGCTTAGATACTCAGAAAGAAACTGATTTCTTAAAGCCATAACATGTTCTGGTGGGCTCATGACAGTGATGACAGTCTCTAAATGTTTCATTGTACATTGAGAAGGGTTAGTTTGCCTCAGTCTCTTTAATACCTGATGCTATGCCATGCTCCATTTTACAGCACTACCTTCAACTTCGATGATTTCCTCGAAGGACTGGATCACATCACAGTGGGATAACCTGAGCTGCACCCCATACTTTCTATGCACAAGCCATTTGAAAAACTGTTTTGCACTTCGGTCTTGGAATGTATATTCTGCACTTGAATGGTGTGGTTCAGACTTCAGACCCTGTTGAAAGGGTCTAAGACCTTAAAAAATAAAAAAGCACCAAAAAGAAAAGTTAAAACCAAAACTACAAAACACTAAGGAAGCAATTCCATTGCTATCTGCTGCTCTAAAATGAAATGAGAGAATCAACACAAACATTGTAAAAAATGATTTCTATACAGCAATGCAATTAGATTTTGATTTTTATAGCTTGCAATCTTTATGTTACAAGACTTGTAGCTTCCCTCTGATTTCACTCTAGTACGGATTAGGCATTATTCCACCACACTCATTTTGTCAAGGAAGACAAAATTTTGGCAAACTTTGGGTTTCCTATGTACAGCACAAACACCATTTAATCCTTAAATGCTAAAATCATAATCATCTTTGTTTACATTTCCCATGTTATTTTAGTCATTTCCCAGTGCTACCATTTGAATTTGTGCTATGATATTTCATCCTTGAAAACATGCTAATATTAATGTCTGAAGTACGGGAATAAATACAAGTTGAGTGCTTGGATTTCTTATGACATTGCAGTTGGAGAGGGTGCAGATCTGTATTTCAGAGCAATTGTAGAACAGGCGGGTTGTCACTGGACTTTATTTCAAGACTTGATCAAACTGCTATGTTTGAGGAAAAAAATATTTTACTGTGTCAATTATATTCTGAATTCTGAAGTTTGGAACTGTTTCATTGCAGAATGCTGAAAAGGGGGCAGCTGTGTCTGTGACGGAAAGCAACAATTGTACAAGTATATTGTTAAAAAAGCAAATACATTAGAGGTAACAAAATGTTCATTTTTAGGTGGCAAGAGGAGATTTTTAGTATCTATCAAAGATATTGATAAATATTTTTTGCATATTTGTTGGTCAGTCAGTTGTTTGAAAATAAGGGTCGTGTTCCACCATAGCCTTTCTTTGCAGGCAAATGGGCTGCATACAGGAATTTTTCTGTGTGAGGGAACTGAATAAAGACAGACCACGGCTCCTCTCCAGAGCCGGGGACTGGCCACAGAGCCAGCCTCACTGTCCATCACAGTTCCAGCTACAATTGACTTAAAACAAGTTGGAGGCAATTATTCCAAACTAAAACCGGATTTCTTCTTCGACGATATTAACCGATGCTAGACTGTAGTTGGCCTTGTCAAGGCATGGAAAAGACCTTACCTCGGGGCTGGTGCTTGGGACCCGAAGAGCCCTCAGTACCCTCAGCCTGGAGCACTCTAGGCGAAGCGCTAGGCTTTTTTTTAATATATTTTTTTAAATCTGGAATTTCTGAAGCGACAACTTCCAGGTCAGACCTGAAAGGAGAGTGTCTGCAGTACTGGCCCAAGAGTCCTGGTAAGGGATGCGAGAGGCTCCGAGCCTCTTTCCGAGAGCCCAGGAGTGAGATCTGCAACCTCGGAGTTGCGGCCAAGGGCCGCTGCCCGCTACCCACAGAGCGGGGTGACCTCCCGTCGGGCACGGGGCTGCGGGCATCCACATCTCCCCTTGTGCTTTTTGAATACCTGGGGCAGAATTAGCCAGTCTCAGGCATTCATTGTAGTTCTGCAAAAGTAAGTGTCTACAGCCCCCGCAAAACAACAAACAAAAACCTGCGAAGAGGAAACGCTGTAAACAAGCAGCAGAGCTTTGGGGAATTTGAGATGAGCGTGGAGAGAGTTCGGATCAAACGGGATTTAAAGTAGACAGCAGTAACTGCGTGTGATCAATAATCATCCCGTGTGCATTCCTCTACTCATTTAACATCAGCTAGGACCGTTCAAATATTGCAACTGAGTACTCGACAAATAAATCAGCAGAGCGTGTATTTAAACTGTGGTTAATTATTAATATGAACAATTCTTTTCGATTAAATGTTTCATTTAATCCCCTCATATTGACTTGTGTAGGAAGCTACATGTCTAGCTTCGAAAATGATAATATGGGTGCAGATTTATTCTAGGGAATTTGATATAATCCATATAATATCATTACTGAATCATTTTCTCTTCTTGCTTCATTCTAACCAGCTGAGGCAACGAACAATTTTTGGTGTAAATATTTATGACGTTTTTAAATGTTCAAAGGAAATTTGTCAGGGAGGTCCCTCGAAGTACAGGGGAAAACCACATCTCAGTGAAGATATGAGTCTTGGAAATGTGAGTTTAAAAGAAAAAGCAGTTCGTGTTTCAAATAGGAACTTCCGAAGAAATTAACACTGAGTAATATTTCTTCCCGCTACCGCTCAAAATCTCTTTTGCCATGTTCTAGACGGGTGCCTGCCATTCTTTTCAGCAGGTCTGGCCACCTCCTTGCACGGTCCCTCGTTCATCCTACGGAGTCTGTGGTTGTGCTCGCTGCGTCTGTGATCTTTCCTTCCCCTGCCGCCTAAATCAAATCCCTCGGGTCCCGCTTTAAAAAATAGTCCCTGAACCTCGGAACCTGCCAAACCCTTCTTTTCCTTCCCTCCTTCCTTCCCTTCTTCCCCCCTTCCTTCTCTCCTTTCCTCCTTCCTTCCTTCCTTCCTTCCTTCCTTCCTGCCTTCTCTTCGGACTTGGAAGAGCGATGGTGAGTTGAATGTGCCTTGGTTTCTCAGTACACATGGCAATCAGCCCCTTTCAACAAGCCATCATATTTGTCCTTAATTTCGACTTTCCCAAGCACTGTTCTCATATTCCACTGTTTGAAATGTAGGAAGATTTAGCATAATTTGGAGGTCAGATTTCTAAATAAGCCTACTTTAAATAACAAACCCACGCGGGAGATTGTCAGTATCTCTATTTTGTATACAGTTTACACACTGGCACCGCTTTTTAAAACCCTATATGTGGGTTAAAACTCAATTTTACAACCCCCATTTATATGAGATGTAGGTTTGACATCTGTTTGCCAGAGTGTTTTGCACTTAGCCTAACACCCACTATTAAATGACAAAATTGTGGCAGGCTGTCAAAGCCAGCTGACTGACAGCTGCTCTACTTTACAAAAAAGCCCCATTCAAATATTTGCAGGGTTGAAGCTTTCTGTAACGCTGTCGCCATTCTCCCCGTTATTTAGCATGTAAAATATAAGTCAAAGTTTTAAAGCTGCTTTCCAAAATGTTGCCATTTTTCCATATAAAAAGAGCGAGCAGCGGTTGCTGGCGGGGATCCAGCGCCGAACGCATTGGGTGGGTATTTCGCTGGGTCCCCGCGTTCCTCCTATCTGCACAAACCCGATAAAACTGTCATTTAGCAGCGTTTCTTAATATTGCAGCTAATTAGAGCCGATGTGTTATTGAAGTGAGAGCAAAAATCCACTTAAAAGAGAGGGGAGGGGGGGGGGGAAAGAAGGGAGAGGAAATTTTCCGTGCAGGCAGAGGTACGCACCCGGGCGGGAGCACAGCGAGACTATCCCCGGGGAAGGACGAGCTCTGGGGAGGGGACACCGAAGCATTCCTGCAACCCCCGCGGAGGCCCCCCCTACCCCCCCCGCTTTCTGCCCCCACCTTCAGGGATCCCTCTGGGCAGCTCTGGAAGGACGTGCAAGGGAAAGCGCTAATGGAGAGCGAGCGCTGCACCTTGGCCGAGGTCTCTCCCACTTCTATTCCCACGGATGAGGATGTAACATTTAATTTGTGTCCTTAATATATATGCCCGTCCGTTCCCTTGTTCCCCCTTCAGGCGCCAATACGAGTCTGTAAAGGGCAACGATGGTTTAACTTTAAAGCAATCTGCTTTTTATTCCAACATATCTAATGATTGTATGTGACTGAGCAACTCGAAATAGCTGACGAGGTAATCCCTGCATGCTAAGGAGTCTTTGCAGAAATTGTTGGGGTGTATTTGAACCTCGGGTGCTTCCCGCAGCTTTTGCGAGACAAGAAGAGCTCTGGATGGCAAGAGAATGGGGGGTTAACGGTGGGGGTAGGAGGATGTATTTATTAATTTATTTTTTAAATGAAGACTAGATCCCTCCCCAATAAGAGAAGAAGACAGTCCGGCCACAGGAAGGCGGCTGCCCCCGGTGTTCATTCCCAGCCCTGGCGCGGCTGGTCCCCCATCAGGGTACAGGCAGCCATGACCCGCCTGGACGCTAGAGCCGGCTCCACTGGCGGGGAAAACCATATCCTGTGTCCCCCTCTGCCCTCTCTCCTCACTGCACACCCCTGGCACAGACGAACAGGTACACACCCGCACAACCGAAGCAGAACGGAAAACGGGGCACTCAGCTTTACCTGAAAATCTTTAGCTGATTTTGTCCATTTTAATAACATCTATCGACTTGCTTTCCTAGAACGGTTGTCATGTTGGCAGAGAGGGACTGGAAGAGTATTTCGGGGAGGGAAAAAACATGCAGGAAAAAACTAACGGTGCTGTCTAGGAAAGGGGAGGTGATCTCAGTCAGTGGTACAGGGTGGAGGAGGTGCGGACCCTCCGCAGCGATCCCGAGCGGAGAGTGGGAGGCTGACAAAGCCCGGTTCCAGCTCGGGGAAAGCGAGGGAAGGCCGGGAGAGGGGGAGCGAGAGGGGCGGAGAGGGGCTCTGAGCCTCCCTGTGAAATCCAAGTTTATTGTCAACAAAGGAGGGTCTGACCAGGCTCGGAGCTTCCGCCGTCCCGAGCTGCCGGAGGCAGAGTACGGCGGGGGGGCGCGGGAAAGGGGTCCCTGGGCGGCCGGGGACCGTCAGGACACAGCGGGGAGAGCAGGAGCGGGGTCTCGGGGCGACCGAGGCGAACGTGGGGAGGGACGGGCGGAAGCGCGGGGAGCCCCGCGGCGTGACACAGGTGCGGGAAGCAGCATCCAGGGGTGGCTCTTCCCTTCCAGGAGGCATCTCCACCGGAGAAAGGGGCAGGGAAGAGTGGCCCAGCAGGAGCTGGAAGGCAGAAATGCAAGCTTAGAGGAGAAAGTGCGTGTGAGAGAGGTAAAGGGGAAGAGAAAGAGGAGGAAGGCTCCGAGCTCCACCTCCCCGCTCGGCGCGGCGCTCCAGCTGCTCTCAAACCAACTGCTCAATTCTATTCACTGCCGCGACGGAACAAAAAAGTGGCTATTTA